CCCCTCCCCAAAAACTTGTATACAATATTGTCCTCAATGTTTAAATAATCAATTTAAGCACAAGGGAACAAGAATACGTACTGGGGAGGCGAGACAATCTCGCCTCCTAATGTGGTCGGCGAAGATGCTAAGGGCATAGTGGCATATACTCGGCTTGTTGTAGGCCTTCCTCCATAAATTGCATCTTGAGTCTCATTTATTCCAATGCCGTGGAAGCTCGTCAAAGAGTGGCTTCCGCCGATAGTATGTATCATACAACACGACATATAAGTCTTGATTCTTGACGCCCTCAAGCTTGGTGGGATATGGAATTAATTGACTCATTCACTCAACTTGACTTCGCTCAGGCTCATAAGCTTGGTAGGCTTGAATGAACGGTGCTAGAGACGGTGGAGGAGGTGACGGCCACATTGGATCATCATAGATGTGCTCTTCTTTGATCAGTGGCAGCATAACAACTTGGATCTCAAAAGGTGTAGACTCTTAAACTTCATCTTGTAAGTCCTCATCATCGATGAACACTTCTTGAGTCTCTTCCTCAATTGAATCATCATCATCGAACAAATCCAAGTTCCTCCTACTCGTACTCGGCTCCTCACGATGGCTTTCATACATGTTGGTGACTTGTGAGTCCCTTATTTCCACCGTCCTTGTCATGGCTTCAATTGGATCATTTGAAGACTCCTTCATTCTTGAAAACTCCACTTGAAGTCGGGCAAGCTCGTCTTGTACGTTACGAAGGGTCTTCATCCTCTCCAACTTCTCTCTACTAAGCCTTGTCTCCTCTATGAATTGGGCAAGAATCTCTTCAAGGTCTAGAGAAGACTCCGCTTGCTGAGGTTGAGTGTCATACCATGGCTCAAAAAAGTTAGAATTCTCTTCCCAACCTTGGTTGTTTGGAGAATGATTCTAACACCAATTGTCATAATCGGCCATGTCTTTCAAAAACCAATACATTTCATCTGCCGATAATTGATAAAAAGAGGTGGTACCATTTCCTCTTTCCACCTAAGTTCGTGTTGCAGCGTTTAACCCATGTAGGAAGTTTTGCAGTTGACACTTTTTCGAGAGACCATGCTCAGGGAGCCAAATGAGCAATTCCTTATATCTATCCCAAGCACTATAAAACGGCTCTGAGTCTCGTTGAGCAAATCTTAAGAGGACTTGTCGATGTGACATCTCTAAGTACCTCACAAAAATAAAGCATCACAATATTAACAACAATTCCAAGCTACGGGCCCTTCGCATTCAGCTTCAAGAACAAAAAGTAAACAAAAATTTTAAATAATTTTAAAAATAGAAAAATAAAATAAAATAAAAATGTCTAAATTAAAGTAGGCTACTTCATCACAATATTAGTCGAGTTTTAACAACAACTGATCCCCGGCAACGGCACTAAAAACTTAATCGCTGTGAAAATATACACTTATTTTCTACTCGCAAGTGCACGAGGTCGACAAGTAATAAAGTAGTAAGTGAGTGTCGTGTCCTACGAGGATTGTGTTCCTAAAATTTAGCTAAGTACTGCAACTAGAATAACCTAGTTTTATCCAGACAAGTCCAACATAAAAATAGGATCAACAAAACAAAAATAAAATGCTAAACTAATTAAATAAGCAAATAAAACAATGCAAGGAGTTTTTAGGATCGAATGTGGCTCTAATGATGAGGTAGCTTGGGTGCTTGATTTCACCTTGCCTAGTTATTCTAATCCTTTTTAATGCTATTGATTTCCCTCAAGCCAAACATTAATCATGAATTTCCTAAAATAATCCAACTCCCTCTCTCGAGTGCCGAGTCAAATATATGCAAAATCACCTAATTAATATCCATATTAATTAAGTTAATTGTGCATTCATTAAGCTCTAATTCATTTGTGATTACCTAGCTCATATTCATCTCCCGATTCCAATACTCGCTAGGTTATGTTCAACAAATCCCAACATGTGCAAGTGACTCTCTCAAGCCTAAATCCACATATCTAATTCTACTAATCAATTTT